CTTTATTATTAGCGTTATTCGAAAGCCTATTGTTTTCTCCTTTAGTATCGGAAAAATTGTTCTAATCAATTTTGTGGAACACATTGAAAAATTGAACAAACCAGAACCAGTACACCCGCGCGTAACGCTAATAGTAGCCCGCATAGAATGCGTTCGGTCGGAAAGCAGTGCGCGATGCATTACGCGCGGTTATACAAATTCTGGTTTCTTAAATTTTTCAATGTGTTTCACAATTTTGATTTGAACAATTTTTGCAGTACTAAAAGAGAAAATGGCGTATAAATTATTCAAATACAAGGGTATTAGTCGATTATGTATGAACGAACCGATTTCGACAATTTTGCATTCGTTGGAAAGGTCTCGGGCTCCGCAAAGTTTATAGCTAATTAGTGGTGCATGGCATCGTGCCTTAATGCAAATTGCTGGAACTTCACGCACCGTAATTAAAGATTCGAGTAATGAAATTAGTGAGAATTATAAGAATTATGCTTGGTCAAGTCAACGAGCAATTCTTGCCGCAAAGAATAATGATTTGCACGCACTTAATTTCACCATTTAATTAAAAATTGCTGGCGAGTTGGTGACATACCAATGATTCTGACTGGGTTTCCGTTTGACTTCAAACGGTTGCAATTTCCAGTTTGCCTTGCGTTCGCAATGACAATTAACAAGTCACAAGGCCAATCGCTTAGTGTTTGCGGGATAAATTTCAAATAGATTATTTAGAAAATCATTGTTTTTCACATGGGCAGTTATACGTTTCCTGTTCACGAGTTCGGAAACCATCCGCTTTGTTTGTGTTAACGTCAGACCAAACTAGCTGTAAGTGGAATTCTGTCTTAAGGCAATTAAGGCATCGTGCCTTAAGGCAAATTGCTGGAACTTCCCGTACCAAAAATTATTATTTTTTTAAAAACGAATAACATTTTTGAAAAACATTTACTTTGAAAAAATAAGATTTTTGAGAAACTATAAATTCGACAAAAAATTACTTTTTTTTGAAAAAAAAATTAAAAAAAAAAAAATTTATTTTTTTTTTTAAATTTTTTTTTTGAAAAATTTTTTTTCTTTATTTTGACATATTGTGAAAGATCTGAACTTTTTTTTAAAGCAATCGTACTGCTTTAACTGCATAGGGACAAAATATAACGCGTAAGCGTCGCGTCGCTGTCTAACGCATAAGCATTGGTACGGAACCCATAGGAATGTTAACAAAATGTATACTTATTGTTAAAATCTCTATAAAATATCTGATAATTTGATGTGCATATGTCTAATGATCATTTTTGACCGCCAAATGGCTCATTTTTTTACTTTTTCCTCCATATCTCCAAACCGCTAGACCTGCCTTCATGAAATGTTATCAGTTATTCATCTTGTTAATACAAGTGAAATGTTTTTTGAATTATTCAAATCGTTCTCTTAAAAACTGAGTTACCGTTTTCGGCACTTTTTGCCCCGTATCCTTGGAACGGCTAGACCTGCCTTCGCCTCTTAAAAACTAATCAGCACGTCTCCTCATCAATACGAATCGAATGTTTTTTGAATTATTCAAATCGGTTGATCCGTGTTCCCGAAATCGTCGACGAAAATTTGTATCCGCACATACATACACACACGCACATACATACATACATACATACACACACACACACACACATACATCCATTTTTTCTAAGGTATGCCAAAATGTTCAGAAACCTCTGAAACGTAAAGATATATAAAAATTTTCATTTTCGATTTTTTTGCGATTACTATAACTTACCCTACGGGAAGTTAAAAAACAAAAAATGTGATTTACCAAAGAGTACTGCAATGAAACGTATAATTTGCGGATTTACTTTATTTACCTAGAGAAGTTCAACTGAAAAGCACTTCATTTTTGTAATCGAAATAAATTCAATTACAGTTTCAATCCTAATTACTGTTGTGTAATAAAATCAAATTTTTCCTTTTCAAATATAAAACAAACAAAAATTTCTTCATCTTTCTAACGAAACATCTGGTGGCGAAACGGAGTTCGTCTGGTTTGCTAGTTAAACAAATAAATATTTGTATTATTTGTTTTCTTTTATTTCGACGACTGGCTAAAGATCATTATTCAAGATATATATATATATATATATATATATATATATATATATATATATATATATATATATTATATAAGATACTAATAGAAAATTTTCACAACCAACTTGAATCGAATAAAAAAAAAATCACTTGATTACTTATGATAATTTTTTTAAATTTATTCTAAACTTGAATTTATTGCTTTTTAATTTATTTATACATTTTAAGGAAATTTTGATTAATAGTATTGATCCAGGTTGATCCATGTTGTTCAAATAATAAGAACCACTGCAAAGCGGCGTATAATATATATATATATATATATATATATATATGTATATATACATACATACATATATATATATATATATATATATATATAAATATTATTAAATTTAATAGTTTTATCTGTTTATAAGAATCAGATTTGAATGATTCAAAATACTTTCTACTTGTATTTACGAATCGATTGCTTCTGAGGAAAGAAATTTTTAAATATTTTTTATTTAATTTCCAAAAAAATTTTTTTTTCTAAATTTTATTCGTCAAATATTTCATTATGATGCGGGAGGGCTTGCCCGTAGGTGGGCGGTTAAGAGCGACGGGGACTTGTTTCAGAAGTCCCGGGTTCAATACCCACTTCAAGCACCTGTTGTCAGGCAGCAGTGACAACGATTTTCACTTGGAAATATAGATAGCAATATGTTTCCAAGTGAAAATAGCCCTGCCCAGCATTGCTGCCACCAATAAAAAGTCAGCCCTATTAGATTAATTCTAATAACAAAAATCATCAAATATGGATGGATTAACCACTGGGTTACCATCTAAAAATACGAAGTAAGGAGAAGTTTCAGCCCAACGGCTCATAGAACGTAAGGTTCTGATTGCTGTTAAAAAAAATAGTGCGGGAGTTCCAGCAATTTGCCTTAAGGCACGATGCACTACACTACTATTTTTTTTTTATGAGCAACCCGTAATCAATAATAATAAATTATATTTCAAGCAATTGTCAAGCTTATTCATAATTAATATCTAAAAGAAAATAAATTTAAAATATTTATAGTAGCTGCACAGAGGTCGCTTCTGGCAAAAAAAGAGATGAAAAAAGTCAACTCGAAAATTCTTACATAAAGTTGAAAGTATTATTAGCTAAACGAATTACTGAGTTTAAAATTTGTAAATCAAATGATAAATAATAAATTAAATACGTAAAAATTATAAAAATAATACAAGAATAAAAAAAAACATGGTTATTTAGGAGGCCAAATGGTCAGACTACATAGATAAAGGATAAGGAATATTCCAGAAAATAGTTATTGAATACAAATTGAGAAATTTCTGTATATCATAAAAAGCAAATACTTTAAAATTTTAAACTAAGCATGAAATTTTTTGTTGTCTAAGTTTCGGATATTGAGTGGAGGTCAGAAAGTTTTTTCATAACTGGCTAGTTATATGTACGCGCCTTAATAAGTTTGTGTTTAGTGTTGTAGTTGGAGGAGGACAGAGCCATTTTAAAAAGTTGTTTTTGATGAAAGATAATTTTACTAGTAGAAAAACTTATGGGATATTTAGAATATTATGTTCTTGAAAAATGCTTCAGCAAGAAGCGTACAGGGCAAAAAAATATTGGTATAGCTTCTGAAGTTTAAATATTTTAATTAGTTCGGATGAAAAACCCCGAATTGGGTTTTCTCAATTTCAATTTTCAATCTTCAAGTTTATATTATCTTCTTCATATCATCCTATTCTTTTTTCTATACTTCTTATCTTCATTCTTCTTTACTATCTTCTCATTCTCATCTCTTCTAACAACACATATTTTCTTCGTGAAAAATGCAAAGAAATTAAACATTTCTTGAATATATTGAAAAAAAACTTATTAATTTGATATTTTTATTATTTTAGTTTCAAACTAAATCAGCTCGCAATTTTTCGTCAATAATGCGCAAACAGTTAATTTAATCTTTCGCAGGTTTGGCTTATGAGATTGAACACTTTTTTCGATTCCACGGTAACTTCAACAAAGAAAAAAATTGAATAAAGTAGATTAAGCAATGACAGAGCTGTTATTTACTAATTTGCAGAGTCATTAATCGGTTAGTTGTTTCTACTGATATCACAATGCAAAATAAATGTGAATAAATGCTTTTTGTATCTCCGTATCCCTAAATAAGTTAGATTGTTTATTATAATTTATTAAGTATTCTAGATTTCTCATAAATAATAATAAGATTAAAAATATATTTTCATTTGAAAATAAGCCCATTTCGGGCACTGCGGTGTGAAATGGTAATGGGAAATCTTTCAGAATATTATATGAATGGAGTTCACCAGAAAAGATGTTGCCATTAAGTGATATCTACAGGTTTATAACTGCTCACGCAAAGTGTTCTACAATTTTTAATACTGAATGTATAAACGGAGAACAATATGTTCACATGTGTTGAGTTGAAACACTTTCAAATATAGTTTTTTTAGATTTGTTGGACGTGTAAGATTTATTAACATCTGATGAGATTCGATTAATTTCTATCAAGTGAATAATGGAAGTCATTAAGATTCTCGCTTACTAGCTATTTATCATTTGTCCAAGTACATTAACTAGACTGCATAACAGGTACCAGTAAATTTGACAGCATGGCGTATTAAGTGCAGCGCTAACGAGAACGCCTCATAAATAAGAAAGAGGAGACCTAGCTTAGCAAGCATTGGTCGTTATAAAACGATAGAAAGCGAGGGTGTGGTTTCGATCCGCTTGTTGTAACGTACGTCCCTGCGATACTTGTTCCGAAGGCGGAGTTTGCGGTGGGGAGTCCGAACTCATTCAGCGTGATTGCCGAACTCCAGTATCAAGTTGAGCCTTTAACCGTGAGTACGTGTTGTTTTTGGTTGTGCGCGTATTAGCAGTGCAAGGAAACATAAGAATGCCACGTCCGTCGCGTGAGTCTTATGGCGATCAAAAGCCTCCATATTCGTATATATCATTGACGGCAATGGCGATATGGAGTTCACCAGAAAAGATGTTGCCATTAAGTGATATCTACAGGTTTATAACTGATCGTTTTCCATACTATAGGCGCAATACTCAGCGGTGGCAAAATTCTCTACGGCATAATTTATCGTTTAATGACTGCTTTATAAAGGTTCCACGAAGACCCGACAGGCCTGGGAAGGGTGCATACTGGGCTCTACATCCGCAAGCTTTTGATATGTTTGAGAATGGAAGCTTGTTGCGACGTCGAAACGATTCAAATTATTGAAAAATGATAAAGATCTACTAAACGATGAGCTAGCGGCGTTGGCCAATATCAACAGGTTATTTTTCGCCCCGAACGATGCAGCCCCATCTGTGGACACCACAGCACCACTAGTGCACCACAGTCTGCCTCGCTTGATGCCATCGCCACCACCTGCAGGTGTACTGACCTAGCTGAGCTATTTCTGCTGATAGTTCGCGACGACCCAAACGAGCTTTTACAATAGAGAGTCTAATCGGACCCGATCCGCCACCGGCGCCGCCCCTGGCTATCCTATCCTCTGCTGCGCCGCCGGTGCACCCGCTTCTTCTTCATCCTGCCGCTTATCCTTACTTCTTCGCGCAAGTATTCCTACACTACTACTACCGCCACCGCCAGACTTCCTGCATCGGTACGCAGGTCCAGCGTTGCGTACCACTTGATACATTCGGTCGCAATCGGCGACTTATAGTGATTTAAAAATGTTTTTGTGATTAACTTGCCGTCAGTGCTGCATGCGGATTTTGCAAATTTGGCGACAAGTACATTAGTTCTCTATATAAGTTCATTTCGGTGGAGTTATGGTGATAAAAATAGCGCATATGTAGATTATTGGACGTTTGATGCATGTTTGTTGTATAAAGTATGATTGAAGCAAGTCGTTGCGCAATTGTTAAAATAAATGTGCCCGTTGACAATAAAAAAAATTAATGGTGATGAACAATTGATGTTCGACACTTATTATTATTATCGGCAGTTGTGTTAATATATGAAAATGTAGAATTAGGCGCAAAGATTTTGGAGTATGCAATGCGTACCTACTTTTATGTGATATTACGCAATTTTATTGATTTGCAATACATTAAAGTACATGTATTTTTTGTAATAAAAAAACTTTGGAAAATCTTTTATAGATATTGAGCCCGTGACACTTGTTTCTTATACAATGATGTGTTCATAGGACTTAAAATTAGACACACATAAATATATACATATGTATAATGTATAAATAAATAAACATTTATATATATATATATATATATATCTCCATATATAATATAAAGATAGAATCTATTAATCGGGTATAACATATCAACAAGAGACACGCATTTATTTTAAAATCTGAATTCTGGCAATAGTCCTAGCTTTCAATCAGTGGAACTGAAACCAAAATTAATAATTAAATAATAGAACAATATAGTTTGAAATATTACTAGCAAAAAAATTAAAAAGTACTTAAAAATAGCTTATCGTAGAATTAAAAACTGGTGAGATATTGATTTATATGTCAACAACAAATTCAGAATTATAACTATATATATATATATATATATATATATATATATATATATATATATAAGAGAGAGAGCTAAAATTCGTCGACATGAATTAATATTAAACTTATATATTTATACGTTTCGAATGGTGATTATCTACAAAAAGATTGAAACAGTTTTAGTTACAAATTACACGAAAACCTTATTATTTTTAATATTGATTCATTTTTTAATTCGATAAATTAGCTGGTTCATATATGTAACAATATAATGTACATATATATAATATATATATATATATATATATATATATATATACAAACTACATATATAAATATATATATATATATATATATATATATATATATATATATATATATATATCACATCTTTAATATGAAGGGAAACAAAAGTTTCTTATGGAAATACCATGGGATCTTCTTAGAATTTTATTAATACGAATACTATGATCAAATCAACAATACAATGTTATTCTCAAATTTTTTTGAATTTGTATTATTTGACGCCGAATTCTAAAATTCCAATAAACAAAAGGAATTTTTCCCATGTTATTTTCATAAGAAACTTTAGTGGAGTGCGGACTATCACAACGATAATATTGAAAGCTAAAACTTTCAGATTTTTTTATCAATTTGGAAGCATTTCAGCCCTTGAATGCAAAGAAATTCGAAAATATTTTTATTGAGGACCACCCTGATATATATTATATATATATATATATATATATATATAGGTTGTCAAATAATCTCCCTTCCGCTTTTTGCTTTTCTTAGTTTATAATACAAAGAGGCGGAATATAATATATATATATATATTTATATATATATATATATATATATATATATATATATATATATATTCAATAAGTCCATAGTCCAAAATTCTTTTTTTTAATTCTATATAATTTCTTCAAGGACAATATATAGATTATAGCGAAATTTGAACTTTTCATTATCTACTATCATTTTTATAGTAGGTGCGATTTGTACTTTGTTACAACTTCGGCGATCATCTCTTCAATCGTCAAAATTTGTTTGCAGCGAACATCTTTTTGAGATCTGAGACAGGATATGGTCGCCGGGGAACAGATATAAAGAATAAAGTGAGTAGGGAAGCAATTCCAAGCCCAAATGTCTTTTTTGCCACTATTTCACGGTTTGTGACTTGGTGCGTTTTCTTTATGAGCCGTTATTCCGATTTTAATCTTCAATTGCTCCAATATCGTTATGTTATCGTTATGATGGTCTGGTCTTTCTCAAGATAGTTGATAAAGATCTGCGAAATCCAAACAAACTAATTCTCGTTTCTTTGGGATTTAAAAATTTTGGGAGAACTACTTTGCATTTTTTCTCCTCATCATGTCTAGTCCACTCGACTGACTGTATATTTGACTCCGAAGTGTAGTTGAAGCCAGGTCATATCAGTGATAATATATTGAAGCAAAACCTCAGTTTTATTTGAATAAACAGCCACAAATCCTCTTACTTACGAATCATCAACTCGTTATGCTTTTGGTCCAATGCGGGTACGCGCGGCACCCATTTAGTACAGAGCTTGTTCTATTCAAATATTTGTGAACAATATGTTTAACACACAATATAACACAATATGTTCTATTGATGCCTTTAGGGTGTCCGCTATCTCAGGCAATTTTACTTTTTGGTTTTCCAAAACGATTAGGTGGGCATTTCTGTTTTCCGGTTTAAAATCAGAAAACACTTCTTCACTGTTTGCTTCCATTTGGCAGAGTCCAGATAACACTTATCAAGCAATAATTTGGCTGTGATGTATTTTTACCCATCAAAAACCAATGATAAATCAACACACGGAATGGCTTTGCTACGGATTGAATTGATTGAATTGTGAATTGAATCTATTTAACTTGTAACTAATCGTCGGATTGGCATGAATTTTTGACAGATATCTTCTTAATGTTGGTGCTTCCTATATTCTACAAATCATGTGGATTATTACATAGCGACATCATCTATGTGCCATACTACGGACTTATTGAGGACGTTATATATATATATATATATATATATATATATATATATATATATATATATATATATTTATATTATTATTATTATATATATATACATATATATGAAATATATTATAATGCGTAAATTTATGTAAATTATATGTATTTAATTAGAAATTGTTCGCAATTATGTTAGTATACTATTTGTATATATAGTATTATTTGAAGAATCTTGCGCAGGCATTTATAATTAATTAAAATTAGAAAAATATTATAGTAGTACATGAAAATATTTTAATTTATTTTCAAATAGTATGAATTATTCATTTGAAATTATTATAAATAAAACAAAGAGTTATAAAAACAAAGGGTTATTTTACTTAGAATAATTGTATATGCGAGATAGTTGAACAATGCGTTCAAACAAATATATATTTATAATAGGTTGAGCGCGCTTTTTTAAGGTCCGCGGGTAAAAAGGTCTACCACCGATATTTCAGAAATCAGTAAAGTTAAGAATTTTTAACAACAATTTTTGAAAGTGAAAAAGATGTATAACCAGCCAGTACCTTGATTCTTACGATGTTACTATTAGGAGATGAAAGTATATTCTTTTGCTTAGTTTACGAGACCATAATATAATTTTTACGAATACATTATTTAATTGTTTTTTAAGTTAGATTTAACGGTTCTTTTTTATATAAACTTTATACAAGCTTTCACCTTGGTGGGGTAAAAAGGACCATTGAATCTTTACCCTCGCAAAGGCGTAAAAAATAAAAAATAGTGAAAAAGTAAACAACAGTTAAATTAAATAAATAGTTATTGCAACTCTTCTGATGATATTTCTGACAAAAAAAAACAGATCATGGCTTTTTACAGTGTTATATCTGTAGAAAATGCACTCATAAAAATGATTTTTTTCATTGTATAATGTTGCTATTATTTTGTGAAATTCCGTCAAAATTAAAATATGACATTGGAACTGTTTGCCGAATAGTTGTCCCAATTTACTTGATTGGATAATAATGGTCAAATGATCCTTTACCTGTCAAATGCGTAAAAATAAAAAATAGCAAAAAAGTAAACAATTTTACGAGTGATAAATTAAATAAATAGTTATTTCAACTCTGCTGATGAAAATTTCTGATGAAATACCAAACCAAGGTTATTTCCAGGGTTATTTTGCATTGGTTGAATAATGTAGCTATTATTTTGTGAAATCCATTTAAAATTAAAATAAGATATTAGACCTAAGGAATAAAGAACCAGATTACAAATATTTGAAAAACAGCAAAAAACACATTTCCACAACGATGAGTTAGCTCGGAGTTTTACTGAACTTAGTCATATAGTTATTTGCTTGATTTGTGCTATTTGTTTTGATATAATTGGTTTGGTTTTCACAATATAATTGGTCAAAATCAAATTGGAACCTTGTGTCTTGCCCTACTATATACAAAAAAATGTCATTTGGCAGTCAAAAATGTTTATTGGACATATCGACATATGTACATTAAATTATCAGATATTTTATAGAGATTTTAATAATGTGCACACATTTTGTGTTATTTTTTTATATGTGTATATTTAAAATTCACGGTTCAAGCATATGTCTTCGACATTTTCGACAGTATATGGAATAACCGATTTGAATAATTTGATTGACAGTATATGGAATAACCGATTTGATTTGTATTGATAGTGAGACGTGCTGATTAGCGGAGACAGGTCTAGCGGTTTCGAAGACACGGGGAAAAAAGAGCCAAAACCGGTAACTCAGTTTTTGAGAACGGAGCGTCCAATTTAAAAATTCAAAAAACATTTTACTTGTTTTGACAAGACGAAAAACTGATTAAATTTTCAGAAAGGCAGGTTCAGCGGTTAAGGACTCCCAATAAAAATAAGT